CTACATAAAATACAAAAATAGTGCAATTTCTGCTCAAGGGTAATTATAAGAGGTGTAAAAGGGACGCGTGGCTTGCTTTCTGTAATTCACTGACTACACAAACCACTAATGTCAGATTTGTGGAAAATTGAGTTAAGAAAGGTTTTGTGGAAAAGCCCCCACCGGTAATAGGTGGAGAACGGTCTGTAGATTTTGTCGACGAGCTAAGCATAGCTGGACCTGCCCAGTTCATTAATCCAGACAATGAAAATGAGATGAAGCTGACGAGTTTTTCGGTAAAAAATTTACAACGAAACAGTTGATTGTTGCCCTTGAGAAAAATAACAACACAGCGCTAGGAATGGACGAAAGCATATCATTCCATGCTCCTTCCATCTTTCTCAGTTGGGCAAGCAATGGTTATTAGACATATCTAACGAAGTTTAGGAGCAAAAGTGTTTCCGCAAGACTGGAAGGATACACGTAAGTGCAAGGTTAAAACCAGGAAAGCCCATTTCCTTTCATAGCACGGACTAAAAACCTTCGAGCGTTTAATCAAAATGACTGGAGTGGTGGATTGAAAGAAATCACAAACTACCTGAAAGTCAGATGGGATTTAGAAGAGGCCGTTCTATAATGGAAGCACATAGTAATCTAGAGACAGACATTCATTCAGCCCTCACCTCGAATCTTACCACGCTAGATTTTCTCGATGACGTTAAAGGAGCGTACGATCAATCAACTATTCGATATTGTATAAGAAAATAGCCCAACTCGGACTACCAAAAAAATTTAACAATAAAATTATAAACCGTTTATCGAATAAGAACCTTTATTTGTATATAAATGGACCACTAGCAGGACCACGTAGATCGATAGTTGGACTCCTTAAAGGCGGTATTTTATAGCAATATATATATTGGACCTAGGAGCTATCATAACACCAGGGTTAAAAATCATTCAGCCGATGATATCTGCTTATATACACATCGCACAAAGGAATAGACGCTGCGGTAGAAGCCCTCAAGGAGTCAGCGATAGCTTTGGACCGAAAAAAATGGACTGGTGAGCTCACCAACCAAGTCACACCTCTCCCTTCCGGACATATTGAAGTTCGGCAAATTGGATGTTCCAGTGTGCGAAGAAGTTACCTTTTTAGGTCTTACGCATACGAAACGGTTAAGTTGGAAAAGCCATACAAGCAAAATAACAACAAAATGTGCAACATTCTCCGATGTACATCACATTCAAAAATTGGCACGAATGTCAAACTGCGTTTCATGTTTAATAAAGCGAACATAAGAAGAGTACTCGATTTTGGCTTCATTTTTAGGAGAAACTACAAAATCGTTGATGAACAGACTAGAAACCATTATAAGGCATTTCGATCATGCTTGGGAGTCCTGCCCAGCACTGCAGTCGACGCTGTGAGAATGCTATCTACCCAATTCTCTGCACTTACGCCCCAAACTGCGGGCAGGTAGATTTCTAATAAACCTTATGTCAAAAAAAGTCCAGTATTATTGATAAAATTTCCTTTTTAACTATACTCACGTTGACAGAACGATGCTGGAAAAAAAGCCTATGCCCCTGCTATCGGAAGAATATACAGAAATGGCATAGTTTCAGTCGGAAATAGAGAACAACAACCTTCTGCCAGCATACCAATTGGACTACATTACCAATCAAACCCAGATATTATGCCTCCTAATCACTGAATGAATATGTCTCAATTTGACAAGATTACCTATTAATTAAGGGCTGGGTCGCCCGGTGGCCTTGACATTTCAACAAGTGAGTGCATAAGCATGGTATAGCTAATACCATTACATGGTCAGTGTGACTAGATTTGAGTGGCGATGACATTACACCACTCCCGAGCATGTTTTGCTCATGTATATAATTTAATGTAGTAATAGTGATTCACTTAACCCGCACTTCTAAAAGCTATTCTAAAACCTTCTTGTTTAAAAATTTTACTAACTTTTTCCGATAATTCACCAATGTATGGCAAACAACGGAAACCTAGTTAAACTACATAGTTTCAACAAAGGAAAAGAATTAGATTGGTTTGAGAAATTTGAAATTAAAAAATGTAAAATTGAACATTGTGATAAATGCATTAATAATATAACAGATTTTGATCTACCTCCCATTTTAAATATGTACAAAAATAATATCAAACATCCAAATAATTAAACTAATTATTTTAATTGTTATTATTTTTATAGTAATTTAATAATATTAAGTATTTACTAGTATAATATTTATTTGTGTTATAATTTCCGCGTTTCGCATGTTCAAATTGAGCGCCATTAAAAAAATCAGCTGCTAATTGGAACGTCGCGTTGGCGGAGGTATCAGCGGGTTCACTTTGGCAATTCATGTCGAGAGACGGTTGTAGAAGTCCTTCAACCTGATGATGAGCTAAAAGGCTCGAAATCCGGATCGTTGCAAAACAACTTACTGTGGGTAGGAACTATCTTTTTAAAAAGGATTTATATTCGATTTTAATTTGCGATTCGTGCCGGATGTTGACATACATATGCATACATATTCCGACGGCGCGAAACGTTTATTTGCTTGCGTGATAGATCGAACATGGAATGCTGTGTCCGCGCCAGCTCGGGGCAACGATTCCCGATACGCGGCACAGTCGGACGGATCTCGAGAAACTCCGGAAGATTTTTATCCCAGAGGGGAAAATTAACATAGAAATCGATACGAGAATATTAATATTAATATGCTGATAAGTTTGCGAGATTGTATATTAAAAAGGAGGATTGAGCGTAAACAATGGCCAGCGGCTTGCGATGTCTACGAAGGGAGAGGTGAGTCACGATTAGAATACATTTAAGAGAAAATGTACTAAATCGTATATATTCAAGAGGAAAAAATGACTGCCGGAAAGGATTTCAACTGTGGGCGATATAGAAAAAAGAAGACTTAATATTTAGAAGAAGAAATTCACTTAATACGAGGGATTAAGGGACGAGGAGGTTTCGAGTCATCGTTGATTAGGGCGACGTGACGGGTTCTCAGGATTGGATGTACGTTAATAAAGCTTGGGCAGAGGTTTAGTATGGATCAAAAGCTGGATGTGGAACCTTCAGACGCGGGACCGTATCACCTAAGGCAAAAGGAATTCTGAGGTCATTATGGACATTGAGGTTACCGACGTACTAAGGAGCTTTGGCAATTTGTCTGATGTCTTTTGATTAGAACGACTGACTGACCACACTGGATATTGGAAGGCTTGGCCTAATCCCACAGGTATCCACTCCTTATCCCAGAGTATAACGATAAATTAAGAAAAATGTACACCTGTCAAAAAAATTCGATATGATAAAAGTCGTTTACTCCAGTTTCTACGCCTTCCAAAGTGTGAACATTTTCACCTTAACGGTAGTCTGAAGGAGCGATGTCAGGACCAAATGGTGGGTTTTCTAGTTGAAAGAATACTTTCTTCCTGTTCGTCAAAGCTGAAACCGCCTTCGAAAACATGACATTTTTTCCGAATATAGCTCAAAACTGTCAGAACAGAAAACAAACTAGTGGATAACAACTTGTAAGTTAGCAAAACAAAAATGGGAGTGATTTTTTTCTAGTACAGCGGACTGATCACGGCCTACCATTGTGCCAGGAAAGATACAATTTTCTTAACAGGCGATAAAAAAAACGTCTATCACTCTGATTTTAAACGAGTTTCCAGACGAAGATCACCTTTCGACGAGGTGAATTCATGTGGAACGTTTTGATGCCCTATTCACTTTCTTCACCTTGTGTCAGTGGAGATTCGCTTGACTGTGACAAGCCTAGTTCGTTTTCCAATTTACGATTGTTTTTTGTAGGATCGACCTCAATAGGGTTTTCTCTGAACTTTCAGACAGGAGAAAATTTTGAAAACTTATTACTCGCCCCTTTAAATGGATATTGATCCCGACATTGAATACTTTCATACACATTACAATTTTGACATTTAAGCAGCAAAAAATTGTGTCGGGAGCTTTAATAATCTTTTGTTAACCTTGTACTTCAAAGCATCTGACATCTTCTATTGCCTTTTTTACCATATCAGTTTCCTGACTAGTCTTGTCCAATTTTAAATAACCGGCGGCAATTCCACAGTTTGTAATTTGCAATAAATTACCAGCAGGTATCCAGAATCTGACCTTTTCCAAACAGTAGGCCAGTGAATGGAAGGGTGACGTGTTCTTTGAAGCGCGTTCCAGACACTTAATATGTTCTCAGGAACTTCATCACTTAGGGCAATCACCACTTTAAGCCTAAGAAGGGCCGGTATGGGTGAAGACGTTGGTGGAAATCCGTGGTCTCTTGTCGATCAGCCCAATGTTGACACAGCGGAAATCAATAAACTCGGTTAAAGCGAAGGGATTCGTGCAGTAGACAGCCATATCGCGTGTTGAGAGGAGATGATGCGTTCACGAGACTGCTATAAGCAGGTTGAGCCCTTGCTTATATTCAAAGTTGCTGAGACCATCGCCGAAGCAGTAAAACCTAGTAGATAACTTGTTAACCACAGGTGTTCACCACACCGCCATTGGCCCTTTCACACTACACATTCTCGCTAATAAATACATTCAGTCTCAATGTACACAAAATGAGATCTCTATAAATGCCGTATAATAAAATAGTCCTGTTTCCTTCAAAGATCGGACCGGGAGGCTAAAGATGTCGAGATCAAACACAATTATCATATCGGATTGAATTCCTGCACGCTCTCTATATAGTACCAAGGCATAACACCCTTAAAATAAGTGGGACACATCCAGCAACGTTTTTGACATGCTAGACCCACATGCTAGCTTTGCACAAAAGTAAGAGTTCGTATGTCAACCCTATTCTTAATCGGGTAGTCAAGATTGCACCATTGGCCACTCACACTACACATTCACGCTAATAAATACATGTTTTTACTCTTCTCACTAAATCATTTGTAGTGCTAAAATGTAAACAAACATTAAGAGTGTCTTGTCAAATCGTATTTATTTTATTTCCAGAGCTGCCAATTATTATTATGAGAGGAAAGAATGCGCAATGAGCGACATGGATAGATTTGCAGTGTCGGATGAGTTACAACTACAAACAGGAAAAAATGGTGTTGATTACATCGAATCGAACTGTGCGACGTCTTCAAAAGGGCTGTGCCACTTTTCTGAAATGGGTAGCAAATCGTTATCCGTGGCAGATTCTATTCACAAAAATGTCAAAAGCCTCGACAAATGCAAACAAATATGCCTTGAAACTACAAGTTTTCAATGCCGCAGCTATGAATATAGAAAATCTGAAGGTATTTGTCGTCTGTCACATTCATCGGCTTACCAACAGGACCTTAAAAGTGCGAGGAATGAAGAAGGAGTTGATTCTTTTCATATGACCGCGTGCTACAACGTCTCGGTTTACTGCGGATCGAACGCCATGGTAGCGAAAATAAAAAGCAACAAACTATTCCGAGGGAAAATATACGCCAAAAGTAGACCAAATTCCTGTGTTAATGACATTGCCAGCGACACGGATTTTCAACTGGAAATGGGATTCAATGACCTGGGGTGTGAAGTGAGTCAAGAAAGCTCTGGAAAATACAGCTCCAACATTATTATTCAAGTAAGAATTTAATTTTTTTTTTTTTTTTTTTTGATCGGCAGTGTATTGCATATAGATTTTTGTATATGATATGTTATTTATTGGAATGATTGTATTTATTAGCGTGAATAGAGGGGTTATCCCCAATTACCCCGGGGAATATCGACTACTACTGGGTAGTGTGAACTAAATCTGATGAGTAATGTAATTTATTAGCGTGAATGAAGCTTCTCCCAATTACCCATAGGAATATCAATTACTGTGGGGGAATGTGAATGAATGTGTGAATGTAATTTATTAGCTCGAATAGAGTGTCTTATCCCCAATTTTTCTGAGAAATATGGAGGACTCACAGATAGTATGAATGTAATTTATCAGTGTGAATGGAGGGGCTTATCCGTAATTACTCAGAGTTAATTACTTTTTAGCTTAAACCCAATTAATCCGAGGAATATCGAGTACTCCAAGGGTAGTGGGCACGAAGTCTCGAGTGTGAATGTAATTTATTAACCTGGTCGCCCGCCCTGCGTAATATGTATAATTTATTAACTTGAATGGAGGGGCTTAAATCCAATGATTCTGAGGAACATTGACTACTCTGGGGAGGTGTGCACGAAGTCTGGAGTGTGAATGTAATTTATTAGCTTGAATGGAGGGGCTTAAATCCAATGATTCTGAGGAACATTGACTACTCTGGGGAGGTGTGAACGAAGTCTGGTGTGTGAATATAACTTATTAGCGTGAATGGACGAGTTTTTCCCTAATTACTCAGAGGAATATCATATACTCCAAGGGTAGTGTGAATGAAGTCTGGTGTATGAATGTAATTTATTAGCGTGAATGGAGGGGCTTATCCCAAATCACACCGAGTAATATTGAGTATTCATGGGTAGTGTGAAATTAGTTTGGTGTGCGAATGTAACTTATTAGCGTGAATGGACGAGCTTAACCCTAATTACTTTGAGGAATTTGGATTACTCCAAAGGTAAACTGAACGAATTCTCATGCATGAATTAATTTATTAGCGTGAATGTGAGATTCGTCCCCAATTACCCAGAGGAATATCGAGTAATCTGGGGTAGTGTGAATGCAATTAATTAGCGTGAATGAAGGGGTTTATCCCCAATTTCCCTGAAGAACATAGAGTACTTCGAGGTAGAGTGAATACTAATGAGACTATTATACTTCTTTTATTAATCTATGGTATGTGTTTGTTATTTGTATTATTCTATCCACAATTGGCATGGCCCTGATGCACAGAGAGGCTAGCAAGAGGATAAACAAAAGAGAGAGTTGGTTATCATATAACATCATAATTTGGCTGGAGAAACATGAAAAGAAATTAGGAGGAATAAAATGCAAGAAAGACAGGAAAACAATTAGGGCTGGCAATGACCAAGTAGTAGACCAAAGAAACAACATAAGACTTTGTCTTTTATTAATTATTTTAATAGTCAACATTATTTTTGATTTGAAAAATAATTTATTGTTTATCATTTCAGCATCACGATCAAATAGTGACAGAAAAAGACATGGGACTTTCCATCAAGTGTTCGTACACGGTGACAAACAGGAGCATTCAACATGGAGTAAATCTGGATGTGAGAGGAGAACCGAATATAATGGGAACACATGAATCTTCATTTGTCCTTTCGCCGACGGTTACAATGCACATAACAGATAGGAATGGTGATGACATTCTCACAGCTCAAGTAGGAGACCCTCTGAGCTTACGATTCCGCATTCTTGACGCAAACACCCCTTATGAAATTTTTGTAAGAGAGCTTATCGCTTTTGATGGGGTCGATTCAAGCGAGATCCTATTAATAGATAGCATGGGCTGTCCGACAGACCCAACAATCATGGGTACAATAAGCACCGTTTCGAAAGAAGGAGAGTCGCAAGTCCTCGAAGCTCCATTTGATGCTTTCAAATTTCCTACTTCTGATATTGTACAATTTAAGGCCCTTGTAACACCCTGCTTGCCAACTTGTGAGCCTGTTTCTTGTACAATGGAAGACTATTTTGGCTCGTCTAAAACCGTTGCATCTTTTGGTAGAAGAAAAAGAGAAGTAAAATCCCATATGGAGGAGGAGGTTGTCATGCAGAGCATTAGAATCCAAGATAAATTCAAATTTTCTAGACTTTCTGATGATTTTGAGGACCAAAATGATGACAGTGTACTTCCAAATCCTTGTAAATACAACAACAGTTCTTTACTGTTCTTGTTCTGTTTAGTTTTATCAACACAACTTCTTTTTTGGGTTATGTGTTATGCAATATTTATAAAATGGAAAAGAAAAGACCAATGGAATAGTAATCATTAGGTAGAATATTTATATAGGGTTATTTATTTGTAATGAATCATGTAATGAGATCTTCTTTTATATAATTATGGCCTGAAGGTGAAATTAATTGTCTATTTATTTTAAACATGTTTATTTATATTTATAGAATGCTGGTGGTGGAAATGATAACATTTACAGTTTAATTTTGGCCCTACATTTAATTTTTGTAATTAATTTATGTATTTTTATAAATACCATGAGACATAGCCAAATTCAACTACACAGTCATCAGCAACCAATGACAACTCCAAATGGAAGGTGGTGAAATATATCCTCAGATACAAGAGTACCTCCCATACCCTTAAACAGATTGACAGCGAAATGCCGCAGCTACTGCATAAAACCCTTGACACACCGACGTCCTGGAACAATTCGGCATCATCTACCACCAAACTCTGATATAAAAAAAGGTCATCCTCAACCTTACCAGAAATAAGACTCCAGACTATGATCTTATAACATCCAAAATGTATAATCCATAACCATTTGTTTCATCTACACACCTAACAAACCAACTGTTTCCTCGTGCCATACCATTTTCGGGGGCAAGTACATGAGAAGCTGGTCCTATCCACAACCAACTGACCTCCAATTTGGTTTCTCTAGCCACAATCCACCAAATTTATGTTGTAGACTTCATTGTAACATCCCAAGAAAATAAGCAGTTCTGCCCTGGAGTATATCCAAAAGTCTCCAGATCGTTTCTGGCATCAGGATTGCTGAAACTCCAATTATTCCCTTCTAATTACATACCTCATCATAAAATCCTATCTGATCCATGTTTCCTACTGACACCTAACCTCTTCGATAAATTCTGTCCTCTCTGCAAGACATGTACAAGACAACAAAAAATAACTGCTAGACTTATGTTCAAAATGTACTTGTTCACAAAAACAAAACAAAAAATTTGAAACCAAGGCCTAAGGCCTATTTACAAGAAGTGGCCTACTTGTATCCGATATTTTGGATTGCAGAATCACCAAAAACGTTTTGTCCAAATCCATGACCCACCAACTTGGTTGTTCCCTTGTCAGGTGATATACGCCAGCTATTGATTTCCTATTTGTCTGACAGAACTCGGAGAGTTAAAGCTTCAAAGTCTATCTCCTCTTCTCTCTCAATTTCAGCTGGTGTACCCCAAGGGTCTATTCTTGAACCTTCACTCTTTTTCATTTCCTAAATGTTCATTACTTATTAATTTCTCCCAATGTCATCTTTATGCAGAGCTCTACAGATTTAGCTCTATTTAGCTCATCTTTTCATTCACCATCTTACAAGCAACATCTTAAGCTATCTCCTTGCTCAACCGTGATATTCATTCTCTCAATCAATGGTCAAGTAGTAATAACGGCATTCTTTTAAACCTTATCATATCCCAGACCTTATTAATTTCCAATAAACCCATTAATACCGATCGCTTTCCCCCCCCCTCATATCAACGGCTCCCTTATTAATTTCTGTCCTAAAATTAAAAATCTCGGACCATGTGAGCTCTATTATGAAAAAGGTCTACTCAAGCCTCTATTCCCTTTGACACCTTAGCTGTTTTATTCCACGAAAAACTCGAGTTAAATTCCTTATAAAATCTGTAAATTAACTTACTGTAGCTATTTTTCCACTTTCCTTAGACTCTCAATCATTAGATAGTGTTATGATCCTAAACCAAGAAATCATATTTCCGATATGACGTCTTCAGCAAGCTAACATTCTAAACACTTATAAACTTAGAAGTTTAATAAATACATATTTAAAATAAATTCAAATAAATGTCTTCAATATCTATCAACTTTTTCCCCTCATTACTTATCCAAACGCACACACTTTGCAGACATATTTTTTGGTTTTGTAAATACTGACGGATATGGCATTAACCACGTTTACTTAATTTCCCAAAGGTCCGGTATTTTATAACCATAAACTTCCATTATTTTAAAATATTTTTATTTTAAAAAAACCGTTGAACAGCTTTTTTAACTCTTACATGGACTTATGGACATACAGACTGGTACTGTACAGGACAGCTAAAAGTCAAAAATCAGCACAATCACCTAGCCTTCTTCTGATGCCCCAAATTCCACTCCTTCATCCATGACCTTTCCCCTCTTACCCGTCCTATCAATCCTAGGAGGTTGAGGTATTGCTGGCCTCACAACTAGAGAGAGATGCCTAATATTGGTCATAAATGGGAGTCTCACATTATTAACACTCACTCCACTTATGTTTTTCATGTATTCATAAATTGGTGCAGTTGTAGATTAATAATATAAATTTAAGAAAAACATTCGGCTATAATGTATTCCTATCATAAAGAAGAAATAAATTGAGCTTTTTTGTGTATCATATATGTAGATCTCATTTATATATTTCATTACAAGAAATAAATTTAATAATCGTTCTCTTATGTTTAGGATTTATTAGATGTACTACTTTTTATTTTAAAATGTTACAATAGTTTTAATACTATGCGTCTGTTATGATTGTATTTATTTTATATGGAAAGGAAGTATTTATTTTATATATGTGTGACCCAGTATACGTATAATTAGAAATATGTCATTAGAAATTAGCTGATTAACTTATTGTGAAACGCTTCAAGTTTACTGTTTAAACAGTCCTATTTATTTATTTTGCTGAAACTTTTTAAGCTTTACCTCTTTATGTTTTAAGAAATAAATACTTATTTATTATTACAAAGTTAGGTCTATTTTGGTCAATGTAAGTTTTGTCTCACTTTTGAAAATTTGTTCTGAAATACTTACAATACGAATAAAGCTACATTGATATGATTTTTAAATTAATATCTTACTGCTAAAAAAAATATAATTTCTTAGGGCTAAAGCAGTGTAAGGTTTGATACAATAAATGTTAAAACATGTTAAAACAGATGTGCCATACATTAAAGATGTATATATTTATGTTAAACTTTAATACAAAAAAAATTATTAAAATGTCCATTTATTTACTCCTCAGATTATAAATTTAAAAAATATTACATAGTTGCTAAATGAGATATGCTTTTCTTTGTAAATATGGAAAAAATAAAATTGTCTTTAAACATTAACTGTGGAGCATCATATGCTTGTTTGCAAAATGTTTCCCTACCCTGCAATGTTTTCTCTTTTCACTCAGATGCCTAAAAACTGCTGATATTGAAGATAAAGTACTCCCTAAAGAGTAGGAAAAAATTTTTGTTTTGCTTGTTATAATGTAAATGTTGTATCTGTAAGTCTTACGATGGTCAGTGTTAACCTCCACCAGACCGGAAGTGTTAAAAAAAAATTAAATGTACAAAATGTACATAAGATTATTTTATTATTTAGGGGATTAATTTGACATAAAAAAATTATCCCTAAAGAGTAGAGAAGGGAAGGATTTCATTCTGGACACCCTGAAAGAGGCGGGGGTGGAAGAACTTTTGTGTTTATAAAAAAAACGTTAAGTATAGGAAGTGAAAATGCTCTCCAACTTTACCAAAAAAAGACAGGCTACTGAAAGGATGTGTAGTAAGTAATATGCATGGCCGAATAAAATTCTACAACATTCGCATTTTAATCAAATATGCTGCATTTACTAACCACCTCATTTAATAACCTTTAAGCAGTTAGTTATTTTTATTTTTATTTTTTTTGTCTTTCTCAATTTATGAACAAATGTAAATGCATTGAAAGTAGAATGACATTGAGAACCAGTATTATGAAGACTCGATGTTTTCCAAAATATGTAGTATGTAATCGATGAATGACTCCAATTTAGTCAATTCTAGACTGCAGATATTCTGAAGAGGAGATATGTTAGGCCTTGAAAATGCATTAATATAAAACTACCAAGTGTTATTTTTGTTCATCAAAAATCCCAAAGCCAGCCCTAACCTAACCATTTTTAACTAACCTAGCCCAACCCTTCCTAACATAATCACCAATAATCCTAAGTTGCAGTGGAGGAATTAACCTACCCCAACCCATGCGCACTTCCCAGTAATGCAGAAAAAAAGTGTATACAGTCCAAAAATATACCCATGTGATAATTAACGGATTCCTCTCATCTACTATAGAAGTTGTTCAAGCCTTGGACTCACAGGCAAATACAAGATGTACTAATGTTCTACAAAGGGTTAAATCATCAGTCTCATCAGCTGAAAAAAGATAAGCAAGATAGAAACATGCCAACTCTTTCAAGTGAAATACAAGACACCAACACGTAACATTGTGGAGTGAGGCACTAGCTCATTTACAGTACAGCCACTTTGGTAGGGCGATTCTCACAGCACAAGAAGTATTCTGATCAGCTAAAAAAATGATGGGCAAAGCAAAGACAGAAACATGCCCACAATGTCAAAAGAAACCAGAGGCACCATCACATTACCTTCGTGAATATGTTGCACTAGCTCGTATAGGTATAGCCACTCAGGTAGGGTGATGCTTACAACAGAAGCATTCTCATCAGCTGAAAAAATATAGGTGTAGCCACTTTGGTAGGGTGATAGTTACAGGAAGAGAAGGCGAAGAGGCACCGAAGAAATTGCTTAGTTTTGTTGGAAAAAGTGCACTTTAAACTCTACCTAACGCCCTGTCAGTTCCTAACCTAACCAATCTTAACCTAATCCAGCCCAATCCCACCTAACCTAGGCATACCTCACAATGGAGAAAAGATTGGAAACCTTACTTGCCCCCCTTAACAAAAGAAATTTGTGATTTGGCTGAGCTTTTACCATAGTTGATACCGGCAAAATATCAAAAGAAGACAATAAAGAAAAAATTAGGTTAAAATGAAATAATGGTTAGTATAAATAGTACATAATAGAAGTAGAAGAAGAAGAATACATTTATTATTAAACATAAGTAACAGTTTACAATATACTTACAATAAATTTTAAGCAGGACAAAAAGCCATCTGTCTGCCGGATTTTGGAATTCTTTTAATTATATCATAATTTACTTTACAGTGGTTATATTAATTAACCTAAAAAAACATAAGTCAAAATAATGATCTAAAATAAAAATCGTAATTTTTTTTCCACCCAGTAATACAAAATTAACCTTAAAATAGGAAATAATGTAAATAAATAATAAAAAATTAATACATATTCTAATTTAACAACAAGCAACAAAATTTATAATTAAACTTTCTTATTAAGTTGTACCTGTATTCCCAGGCCTTTATTTATTTACAGCATTTACCAGTTGATGACCTGGAGTGACAACACCCTCAAACAAAATTCATCCCTAACTATGAAAATAGATTCAACAGAAGATTAAATATTAACCTTACAAGTAGGGCTGTTTTTTATTTTTTTAAGAAATACCTACATTTCCAAGACCTTAGGCTGTTGATCAGTGGGTTCGCTCTTACAATTCATGTAATTGTATGTCGAGAGACGTCATTGTAAATACTTCAACCTGATGATGAGCTTTAAATTCAGATTGTTGAAAACAATAAACTTTGAGAGGATCTCACTTTTCAATAAAAGATTAAAAGATGCAACTGTAGGTGGACTCTTAGCTACTAGGGAACACCATGTCTCACTTTTGAATTGGCGGGAACGCACTGTCTCCATTCAAAAAAAGTGGCACCATTATTGTTTTTGCAAACTAACTTAAATTACTGAGAGCCAATATATGCAAGAAAAGTATCATAACTCTAAAAGGGGTAGTTTTTAGGTGTAGTATAGATGGATTTTTAAAGTTATGTGTTTTCACTTAGGTCTTGGACAAACGAAAGACAATAGTGATGGATCATGAAAGTTTTTATCGTCAACAATGTAAAGGCATGTATTTAATACATAAGTTTTTTTAAGGATTAATAAGATTTGGACGTCCTAACCACCCTGCCACCACAATCCCCCTCAGAGTAACTGTGACAAAACTGACACTATCACTACAAAAATTCTTCAAACCAAATAAGTATGAAAGTGGTTCTTAGTTGTAAAAGTTAACATTACACGGTTTAAGAGAAAATAATATTCCTTGTAACCACACTCCTTGTAACTCCTTGTAAGTAAACTGTTTATTCATTGATCATAAGACAAAAAGGTAGTTGATGCAAAATACAAAATTTCTTCATTTGGAATTAGAGTATTAAAATATTATTTCTTCTATTAATTCTGTACAAACTAACACAATAGAATTGCTGAATATAGAAAAACGTTAAAAACAATATTTTCCAAACCAATAATATTGCAATAGTTTTCATCAAGTGTGCAATACTATTCAATAAAGTAACTATGTTTTTATTCTCCCTACTTTTTCATAAAAACCTATCTAAGCAGGGTGGTAAGTAGCATCTTTGATGAAATTTTCAGCAAATGAAATTTTTTCTAAGTTTTAGGGGGCTATAGATCTATTATGGTGATTAGGTTAGGAATATTTAAGTTAGATAGGTCTAGCGGAGGTTAGGTAGGATTGGGTTAGGTTAGATTAGGAAGGATTGGGCAAGATTAGGTTAGGTATGGTGGGTTAGATTAGGTTAGGTAGCGTTGGGCCAGGTTAGGAATAGTTAGGTGAGGTAGGGTCCGGCTAGCAATATCCTTAGGTAGAAAAAAGGATAATATTAATTTGATATAAAGTAATATAAAAGTAAATAACAAAACAAATGATTCTTCTAAATATTCTAATCTATTTTTTGAGATATAATAAAATTAATAGAAAAATCATTAGTTTTTATGTTTAATTTCAATCTTTTAATTTTAATTGTAATTAATTTGCATGAAGTATGTTAGATGTGGTATTGGTTCTTATCTATATTCCGTAAATACAACAAAATTCTCAAAACAAAAGAAAATTTTTTTATTTTTATCTTTAATTTTATAATTTTTAGTTTTAATAGAAATTAATTTTATATGATCTTTTAAGATCACAATAAGTTTATATAAACAAATTTTAAAGACGAAGGAATTTTAGTTTACTTGTTTAAATGTCATACCATTCCTAAGCTTTTTAAAGCTTTGAGGAAAGCGTCAATTTGAAATTGAAAAAAGGTTGATTTGAAGTTAGATCGGGTTAATTTTGCATAAAAAGGTTATATAAATAAAATAATCTGGCTAGCTTCATTGAATACAGCAATAAAAATTATCTAATTTTTTTTCAAAAACACTGGCAACCGAAGGTTGATATGACCCCTGCTGTTACCCTTGTATAAAAAGAAAAAACTGTTTAATTATCCTTGTAGTTTTTTTCTTTCTTTTTTTTAGGTTAGGTATGATCAGGTTAGGAATGATGAAGTTATGTAGAGATGGCATAGGTTAGAGAAGAAATGGTTAGGCTTGGTAAAATTGGCGTAGGTTAGATTAGGTTAGGTAGAATTGAGCTAAGGTAGGGTTGAAATAGGGTAGATTAAAAAGAGTTGGGCTAGATCAGGTTAGATAGAATTGGGCTAGTTTAGGTTTGGATTGGCTAGGTTATTAAGGGTCGGGCTAGCTTAGGTTGGATTGGCGTAGGTTAGAAATATTTAGGTTAACTAGAATTGGGCTAGGTTAGGTTAAGAATGGTTAGGTTAGGAAGAGTTAGGGTTAGGTATCGTTGAAATGGCGCTATTTACAACAAAACTGTTCCTCTTCGCCTTCTCTTGCTATGAGAATCACCGTACTAAAGTGGATATGCCGTAAATGAGCTAGTGCCTCACATCCACAAAGGTTATGTGACAGTGCCTCTAGTTTCTTTGGACAGAGTCGACATGTTCCTGTCTCTACTTTTACTTTTTAATCATGATGGATATGTTTTTGATGTGGGTGCAAAATTTTTTTGCGTTACCGGAAAGTGAGGATAGCTGGGTTTGGCTAGGTTAGGTATTGTTAGGGACGATTTCCTTTCCGATCGTACAAAAATTCTAAATTCACAAGTAAAATATAATTCTAGTAATTATATTCTTTGAAGTTCCATATAATGAGATTTTCCCTTTTTCTTCTTCTGCCGTACCGTCAGGCATAGGCGATCATCTACTGATGGAC